GCTGGAGCATCATGTGAAGCTCTTTAAAAGTAAAGTCAGTAGTATATTTGCAGAGCACCGCCAACAATTGCGGAGTGACCAGGCAATTCAGCTTTTTGCTAAGTTTAACCAGAGCGTAAAAGTTATTGACATTGTAATAGATACTTGGTCAAATGCGGTACTTGTTGAGCTTTCGGAAACTAATGTTTCACTCCCCGAAGCAGTAAACTTCATTCCCCCACTTCAGGACAAAAGTGTCCATTTGTCTAACTTAAAGGAACATATTCAACAGATTCGAGTACGCAATGCTCAGCATAATAAAACTGTCGTTATCCCCGCCATCTCGGTCACAACGTGTATTGTGGTTGCGTTAGTGCTATTAACTGTTCTATACGTCCGATGTCATGTGTTTAAACCCATTATGATCCGACCCCAGAAAGTATCCGCTCAAAATCCTGCCCCTGACAGCGTTATTGTTGAAGAAACGTCAAGTGTAGCTCCAAATATCAAGCCCCGGGAAAAACTCACGGACCCAAGTCCCTCGTGCTTACAATGGTTAAAACCGTCTCCGACCCTCGCTTCTCAGAAATCCGCAGATGCCTGATGCAAATATTTTCCAGAGGAGTTCTTTCTCCGCAGCAGAGGTACCAGTAGCGGCGCTCCCACACTCGGTCGAGCCGCCGCCGGTGCTAGTCAGCGCCACTGAGATCGGGCCGCCCCGCATCGGACACCCCACGTCCGGGCGCCCCGATAAAACTACGCTGACGCGTGGTCTGGTCAGCCCGACACCGGACGGACGACCCACAACAAGACGCGAGACGTGAGAACGTCAATGTGTCAATATCTGACACATCATCTGGCGACAGCGTGTCGACATCTGACACACGATCTGGTGTCAATGGACAATGGACTGACAAACACGTGTCAGACAGCAGCGTCAAAGGTGACCTAAACCCTCTGAACTCTCTGAACTCCCTGAACTGATGTGCCGCAGCGGAATCTTACCAGTGATTGCGAAGCGAGAACCGAATCGATAAGCACGAGTGGGACAGTAGACTATGTTTCGTAAGCGGACAATGAAGAAGACTCTATAGACTTATAGCTATGAGGACTACAACGAAAAAGAACGGGAAATTGTGTGTTGAGGTGCTGTGTATATTGTTGTGTTAGGTGTTGTTTGCGTTGTGTCGTGTGTTGTGTACGTTATATCATGCATCATATTAGGAGTATCCCAAGCCGAAAATTTTGGTCAAAATTTCAGCTTTAAGGACCTCGCGTTGTGTTGTAACGAAATTCGTTCCTACCCCGTCCTCCACCTCCCTCTGTACCTACTTACTGCCCAGCCCCCTCGCCCACTTACAATACCCTTATATGGTCCTCACTCCTCACCTGCGACGCCTGTCCTCGCCCGCTTCTGATTGGTGCTATGATATGACGTACATCTATATGTATGACGTGTGTGTATGACGTTTGAATATAGCGGCCGACGTCGAACGCCGAGCAGGAGCTGTGAAAGATTGATTCGAAAGCCAACCGCCGTAGTGGCCTGACGTATCGTTATTCAAAGTCTCGGCCGACTGTTTATTACTTTTGGATTCTGTCGTCAAATTTGCAATACATACTTGAAGAAAAGAAAAACCGTGTTGGTTATACGGCTGAAACAAGAGGTCCCAAAACAGACTATCACAGAAGAAGAAATTGTTTATTTACTTTTTACATTTGTTACACCCTCGCCGGCACAGGGGGTGATGCAACCCCTCCCCTAAAGCTTTCGTAGATAGCTCGTAAAAAGCGGTCGATCGCGACGAAACTTTCAGTACCCTTAAAGGGACCCTCCCACCTTAACATTAGTTTTGAGTTGAGATAGCCAAATTGGTGGCCATGGCCTGCAAATACCGGTTTGGGCACTCACAACATCGAAAAATGCTTTAATTCGAAGATATGGAATTTCAAACTTGCAGTTTTCGGATTCTAAGGGACTAATGCATTGGAATGCCCCCTTAGAATTTGTGACGTCAGCGGAGATCTAACTATTTTTAAATCTTAGACTAAAACCATCGTGAACAGTGGTGGTATACGCTGCTTTGCGCGCAACGTCTGCCGCATTTTAAGGCTGCCAAATTATTGCTTCCAAATAAAGTCGCTAGTAACAGGGGAGATCCCAAAAAGTAAACAAAAGTAAAAGCCTAATATCTTGATAACCAGTGAATATTTTTCGGTGAAATTTGGTAGATATTCGTTTCCGCTCTTTCTGAACCAAGGGACATCACTTTTATGCCAATTCATTAACTTTTTTGAAGGTGGGAGGGTCCCTTTAAGTTAATCAATTTTACACCTACCCTGAAATTTCATGACCCTGACCCAAATGACCTTTGACCTGTGACCTATTTCTCGAGACCATATTTGGCCGGAATCGCGATTCGGCGTATGCCGGCCCGCATTAGCCGCGCGTTTGCAGTTTTTTTTTTCGTGGTTTCAAGCGTTCAAACATGTGTTCTATTGTTGGTCCCATGCATTTGTCCGCGATCCTGGGGGGGGGGGCGAATTGCGACTTGAAACTTTGAGTACCTCCCCTGGCATCAAATTTACACAACTCCTGAAAAAAATCAAGTCCCAGGTCATCTCAGGTCACGAGCTATACCTAGAGGTTAAACTGAGGTCATGTTCGGCGATTTTCTTCGAAAAAGTTGTTAACGGAGAAAAATCGCAGAAAATCAGAGTTTCAAGTTAGCGACTCAAAAATTGGACGATTGGTATAAAAACATGACAAACCAAATGGCTATCTCGAAATTTCCCAAATATAAAAATCCCTAGATCCATGGATTTTATGATTCAAAGTTTAGCTTTCTGGATATATTTTTGAAATTTGGGGATATTTAAAAAAAAAACGAAATATAGGTATGTCAGAGAACTCCTTAGGGGGAGGGGGCGTGAAAACGCCCTCCCCCAGCACTCCACGGAAAGCACAGGCCAGCAGCACGGCGCGGGTTAATTCCGCATATTTACCCGACCCGTTACAAGTCAAAATCGGTCTGTCCACTCCCCATGCGAATATGGTCGGCAATAACCATCTGCACTCCATCGCACCCATGACCTCGTTCGTGGTGAAACTCAGCGCCGTCACTCCTGGCCTCGTTGGAGCTGAGGGTCGAAGGGAATGGGCTGTGCTGTGAGCGCTGCAGTATGGTAATCACCGAATCCTGGCCGCCGCCGAGGCTGCAGTTGGCAGCCGGCCTCCAGACAGAAGAGTGGTTGATGACTCGACCTGTAAGAATATTAGGCTCGACTTATCTGATGTGCTCGACCAATCTGTAAGAATCTTGGTCTCGGCGGACAGTCAGGTCATGCTCGACATGACTGCTCAACGCGACGTGCTCGACGCTCGTCAGTTGCGCGTCCAGTCCACGATTCAGTGACAAAAACTGCGCCACTGGTTCGCCATGCCACCGCCAACTGAGCCACGAATGGGTGAAACGACATGGTAGTTTAGATGATCTATATGGATTCAGGCTGATGGTAATGTTAAAGCTGCGCTTGAACAGTACAATCAGCCTGACCCGCTGCGATCTGACCTAGTGACCGTGGTTGCCGTGGAGGAAGCTTTTCATGTCTCCTCAATTTTTTTTTAATTGTTCACAATTACCTAACTACCTAAAAAAAAAAAAACGGCGTGAAGTGCCGATGTTTTGACCAGAATGCGTCGTATATATTATGAAAGTTTTAGTTCCAACCATTGCACATAAGATAGATGAAGACCTTTTTTCTAAATAGTCCTTTTTCTAAATAACAGGTGAATGCTTCTCAATTATGGTGCATGTTGCTTTAAACGGTGATGTCGCAGGCCTAACCTGACCCCAGGGTGACATAGTCATGCTTTAAAAACGGATCCAAACAGCTATAAGGTCGTTGAGCTGTCCGGTGCGTTTTTAAATGGTGCCGGGAATGTCAGGATCTACAGGTGTGAATCTGAACTGCAAATACCTTCGTCCTTCATTCAGTTCTTTAGCAGCCAGCCAGCATATTCACAACGACTCTCTAATGAATGTACAATCAACAGGAAAGTCAACCAGTCATGAATAAATCGGCCTCAGTAAGTGTGCCAGGTGAGGCTGAAGGAGCGACTAGTCCATGAGGAAGTGACCGCCTCACCCGATGAACTCTATTGTCGGAGAAAGACGCAAGTCAGCCACCAAAAATATTCATGTAGCGTCGCTGCAATGTACACTGCAAAGTGTGCAGACCATGCCGAATGGGGAGCGTCACTTAAAGCAAGACAAAACCACTTGCCTGTATTCTCATTACATCCCCACAGCCTTTACAGTTGACATAGTATGTGTAACATCTATGTATGGTGTAACACAATAGTAATATATATATATATATATATATATATATATATATATATATATATATATATATATAGAGAACAGACTCGTTTGTGACGTTTCGATATATGTGTATGCTTATATCTTCGTCAGAATAATAAATCGGCGTATCGTTCACACTTTTCGACAATAATGGCACACAAACACGATAAAGATGGGTACAAAAACACTTAAAACACGTAGCGAAATAATCACCGAATGAAGGCTTTATTTCGGTGATTATTTCGCTACGTGTTTTAAGTGTTTTTGTACCCATCTTTATCGTGTTTGTGTGCCATTATTGTCGAAAAGTGTGAACGATACGCCGATTTATTATTCTGACGAAGATATAAGCATACACATATATCGAAACGTCACAAACGAGTCTGTTCTCTATTTTATTATCGGCATTGGTCTGTTAACTATATATATATATATATATATATATATATATATATATATATATATATATATATATATATATATATATATATATATATATATATATATATATATATATATATATATTACATACATTTTATTCGTATACGCCTACACACAAGCGCAATGCATATTTGTAGGTACATTATACAACATAACCACATTTCACAATATACCTTTCATCATGGCATTGAATATGAGCGAGCGCGAAGCGAGTCTTTTTCAATATAACGGGCGAATCTCAGTATGAGCGGCCTGACCCGGCCCGACCCGACCCGACTTGGCCTGTAACGCTTTTGATAGGCCTGTAACTCAGCGACCGCTGGGCAGATTGACCTGCGGTCTTTTTGATGGGTAGCCACATACCTTGTACACCGTATTGGACCTTTCTTGATGTGTCTAGGTGACGTCGTGGCATGTGGCACGTGGAAAGCAAAGGATGTTCAAGTTGTTCTGCTGAAGTAGCGATATTGAGAAGCCTATATCTCGGCAACCGCTGGGGCGATTGATTTGCGTTTTTTTTGTAGGGCTGCGTCCCTTCTGCGAAACATCGGACACTCTCGATGCATGTCGGTCACCCCCAGTGCACGTGCAAAATGCAAAGAAAAGAGGTGTCAAGTTTGTTCCCATTACAATAACTCGGAAATCACTGGCGCGATTTCGCCTAAACTTGACATGTATGTATAAGGCACCCACCAGGCACTGCATTCCCATGGGTTACGATAAGGGTGCTACTGCACGTGCGCACGTGCAGGGGGCGTTTCCAGATCTCGAGAACGGCTGTGACGACTGCGCTCAAATTTGATGAGCGGCTAGAGACCGGTTGGTAGGGTGCAGTGCACAAGCCAGTTGGAAGTACCCTCTCGCCCTTCCGCGCGTGCAGGGCTCACTCTCTCGCTCGCTCGTCTTCGGTCAAAAGGCGTTTTACTGGTCTATCTTTATCTCCATATTTATGAATCTAAGCTGTATTATTACGGAGTATATTTCCATCACGGCATGCCTCAACATTTCAGCTCCATACAACTCAAGGTCTCTTCTGTCCAGTCCACGAGCCATTATCACAATATCGCGCCTTAAAAAAGCGTATTTTCACAATCGCGTACCTTACAACCAAGCATATCGAGTCCGTGGTCAACCTCGCTTATCACACGGCCGATATGTAGAGCTCGTTCCTGACCATTTCGGCAGCTGGGTCCGCTGAAATCGGCTCGCCGAGCGGGGGCACCGGCGCGATCTCGGCGTACTCTGGTAGGTCATCGGTTTCAGGACACTGCACGACCGCTGCGGCTGCGAGGACAGGCCCGCGCTCCTCCGCCGCGGCCGCCTCCACCTGCCGGAGAAGACGTTCTCAATCACATGGGCACTTGCAATTGACATGCAGTTGACATAGTCGGAGTGAAATTCGTGTGCTGAACTCGTGCATACAGCTTATGGGAGTATGCATGCGCGTATCTATCCGATTCATGAGTGACCCGTAGGTTTGTAGGTCAGTAGGCGGCTGTAAATCATATATGACACGCGGCAGAGTGAATTTACATTTCACAGTAAATCTTTACAATCAGGTACCGGCTACCGCGCTTCCTCGGAGACCGATCACGGCGTTGTATCCGTGTTACTGTGTAATGCAATTTACATATACATGCTAAACAGTAAACTCATTCGTACAGTGATGTTAGTGTGATGATGGTCACTATAAAGCTGAATTCTTGGCATTCAGTATTACCTACATTAGTATTTTTGATATAGCGCAGGACATGCCTATTACCTAATGTTTCAAACTAATGGTATATTTTGATAATGTACTTGTGAACGTTCCAGTAAATATGATATTCACAAAGCACTAAGAGATTTACACCTGCCAGGTAACGTCACTCTCACAAAAGATGCTGTTCATAGTGTTCAATGCTCACACTCACTATGATTAGTCTAAATACCATGCTCCTGCATGAGCCCGGAACGTGTCCGGGCCCCCAGGGCCACTGAGAAAAATAAGAATCCTCACCATTTTAACTGAGGTATCTACCGATGGCCATTCACCCCAATCATTCCCATTCAAATTTCGTTCAAGTTATGAATCAGTTGTAGTAAGTAGGGAGTTGATAGCTCAATTCAATTTTGTCTTAATTGCTTAAATTTTCTCTAAGCTTATTTAGACCCGAACCCCACTAGGCTTTTCAGCCGATCGAATTGGAGGGAGGTAGGGGGAGGGGGGGGGGGGGGGCAGATTCCGCCCTAACTTCAGCTTCCGAACGGACGGTCGTAGAAAGATGAGGAAAACGGCAATTGAAAGCCCTTAACAAGACTTATGATGTCATTTTTTCTGCAGAAGTAGATCAAAGGTCACGCCAAGGTCGGCTCAAAGGTAAAAATTGCAAATTTTTACTTTACTGCCTACTGGCTTTGTAGCCCGGTTAGCGAAGAACAGACTGAGATTGATCACCCAAGACGCGTTCTCAGGATACCATGAAAATAAGATGCATTGCATACAATGGCATGCAAAAGTCAAAGTCAAGGTCAGTTTATCAAAGACAAAGTGTTATGCTATATTTAATTCCTTACAAGGTTAACAACTCCCAAAAATCTTTTTTTATTGTTTTGCGTTTTGACGTAATTAAAAATTTAGTAACTTCTACATTTTTAACTGATTCATCTAAAAATTGTAGGGGAGACTGGGGTGGGTTGTATCAGTTTTTACTCCGAGACCCATAACCTCGTAACTATCCGTGATAAACTCATTATTTCCATACTATCCCCTTCCTTGATTCTTCTGCTTTTTTGTGCAAAGTAACTTTTCCGCTACCTCTACCAGTTTTTCTTCTACGGTCTCTCGAATAGAACAATGTTTTTGATACAACTTGCCCCATGGCTTGGGTGAGTTGTATCACACGGTGGGGTAATTTGTATCACTAGGTATTTCACGTTTCAGGGAGTGTGCTTGCTACTGGTTTTGAACATAACAACAACATTAAATGGGGTTAATACAATGTATAGGTATGCTCAAAGGCTTCACTTTATTAGACCAAACTTAGGTCAATGCAATCCGAACGAAACATCAACAGACTAGACGCAAAAGTGGCCCGTTAAGAGCAAAGAAGCTAACACATTGTGCCGAAATGGAACGAGCATTGACTAGCTACCTACAAACGCGAGCCAGGGCTTAGCTTTCGCGATCAAAAGCAACATACCCATACATACATACATGCATACATGTTACAACATACCTCACCCGGCTCTGATACAACATGTACCTAGCCGCCATCTTGGAAAAAACATCCTCGTGCTCAAAAAACAGCGGACAGCTGGAGAAATCCGTTTTCACTCACGCAGCCTTAGAACCTACCCTCACCACCGCTACGGAGATCTTTCAAATTCGTGCACATCTAAATGCCCAGAACACACATTTTCTTGCAACTTATTTTTTTAGAATGACATTAAAAAAACATAAAATCGGCTCTCACCTCGAGACGCGTCCACTCAGCCACAAGACAGAACAGGGAAAGGTGGCGCCCGGAAAACCTCGTCGGCTGGTCGTGTCGCGAGCGCCATCCATTGGATAAGTTTGGCACAATTCGCCCTGATACAACTTGGACATGATACAACTCTCCCCGCTCTCCCCTAATGTCGGTGAAAGATCGTAGGTATTTCTCTAACAAAGGTATGTCATTCTGTTTTTATTAACTTTAAATTTGGAATTTTATAACTTTAAAAAAAAAATCAGCTTAACCCTCGCCCTCTGGCAGGGTGGTCGATGCGACCCCTCCCCCTCTAAGGGTTTTCAAAGATAGCGTAAAAACGGCGGCGCGCAGCGCCGCCAAATTTGGCACAGCCTATAGCGCAACCTTTTTACACGTGACCTGAAAATGTCAGGTACGAGTGACCTTGGGTCAGGTCACCAGGTCAGAAAACCGGTACAAGGTCATGGTCAAATTTCAATTTTCTTTATGCACCTGTATAACTCTCAGTTTTGGGACTGATTTCCTTCAAACTTTCAGGATATGCTAAGTTTACCGAGTTGTATAACATATAGTTCGTTTTATTTGATGTCACTGACCTGAGGTCAGTTAGAGGTCATTACGTCGTAATGTTAAGCCTATGGGAAAATATTCAATTCGGAAAATACTGGAGATATCCGCTTCGTTCTATCACTTTTGTGCTTTAAAACCTCAGTACTTAACATAAGGTCACTTGGTGCTTCTTTGTTTGGTGTACTTATCCATGGGTCAGGTCAAATGAGGTCAACTGAGGTCAAACGACGTTTGTGCCAATAACTTGTCACATGATAAAGATACAGCTTCCAAAATGGCATCATTCTGTTCCTCTTGAAGAGCCGAGTCGAATGATATGCAACATTAAGCATTTCGACCATTCTTAAGACTTAATTTGTACTTAAGATGTGCTTAACTTTTTAAGTACACTTAAGCAAGCAAATACCTAAGTATATCATTCGACGCGCCGTGACGTGCTGAGATCACTGGTGCTTTCTTTTTGCTCTATCTTAGATCAAAAGTTATAAGCGAAAAACTTCTGACCTGTTTTTAGCGAAATTTTTACATTGATACCCCCCAAAACCCCCCTAAATATTGACCTAGAGCAACCAAATTTGCACAGGGGCGAGAAATTCAGAGGGCCCACCTACTTACCAAATTTGGTGTTTCTAGGTGCCATACGTGTTATGAAAAATGGCAAATGCCCTGCCAGGGCGAGGGTTAAAAAATGACCAAAATCCAAAGTTTTCAAAAATCGAGGCAGCCATTTGAAAGACAAAGTAGTGTCATATTGTCTTGCTGTACCTATGCCCTTATTAAAAAAAAACTGAAGATTTTAGAAGCGTTTGAAGTTTTGCCATCTTTGAAGCGAAAATGGCGCGGCATGACGTCACTAACACGTGTTTTTATCAACAGACAAAATCTGACAGAGTTCCTAAGTTTTTGGGGAACATGTCACTTTGAGGCATGATAACGATAAGGTACTGAAAGATTGACGTCGCTGGCTTAGCGTGTTTAGAAGCTATTGGCGAAAAACGGGTGGAGGGGGGGGGGGCAGATTCAGTCCTTCCCCAGCGGGCGCGGGTTAAGTCGTCAAAATTTCAGCTCGCCCACGCGGATGGTAACAGAAACAAGCTGTTTCTAGCTGTTATTTTGTTGAGTTTACTGGCGCCCATTCCGATCAAAAGCAGCCTCAGGGTTAGTTGGCACCCGCTCACCTGAGAGTCGCGGCGGAGCGGTGACTGCGCGGCATCCTGATCGGCGCGTGCGTCGGCGGCCGAGGCGTCAACTCTGCCGGCGCCGGGCATGTTTGCATACGTGTGCTCGGCGTCTCTCAGACGATCCGGCTGGCAGCTGCAGCCGGCCGTGTCGGCCGAGACGGCGTACCGCGCGGTCGGCGGACAGGTGCAGGCGCGCGCCTCCGGCGAGTTGGGGTGCGCCGACTCCGACGGACGGGCGGCCATCGGAGGGTCGGCCACCTCCGAGTAGATCGCCTGCGACTGCCCGGTGTCACCGGGAATCACCAGTCGGCAGTAGGCGCCCGGGCTGCCGGGCGCTGTCTTCCCGCCTGCCGAGTGCTGACCGACGCAGTCGGCGCCGGCCGGTTCGGATCGCCACGGCCGGTCGGAGCGACTCTTCGGCAGACGGCGGCAACACCGGACGACGATGATGATGAGAAGCACGGTTAGCGCCAGTAGGAGACTCGCCAGGGCCGCCACGCCCAGGTACGACCAACCGGGCGCCAGAGGGGCGTGGTCGTCTGACTGACCTTTCAGACCGCCGGCGCCGGCCGGTGTACCGCAGTGCTGAGCGGTGAACTCGCCCAGCGAAATGCCTTCGACGGTACAGTTTCCGGCCTCGATTTGTCGTAGTAATGCGTCCTGCTCCTCCGTGATTGTGTTCACGGTTCCTCGGAAGCCAGAGGCGTTCCGTGCGCCATTGGAGGCGCCCAACAGGAGCTGACGCGCCCAGCTGGGGGTGCTGCAGGCACAGCCGCCAGTCAGCTGGAGGTCGGTCAGCGCGACCGGTGCAGCAGCGGAGAGCCTCAGGGCACCCGGCTCCGCGCGCTCCACACTCAGACCGTCCACCGAGAGGCCGCCGTCCGATTCGGTCAGCTGCAGGCCCCTCAGCGCATCGCGGCGCAGGAAGCCGACCTTCAGCCGGTGGAGGGACACCGAGTCTGCGGACGCCACCTGCAGCGCCCACGAGCTCAGCTCGCCGACGGAGGTGCTGGAGACGTGCAGCAGGGTGGCGTTCACGCTGACGGCTGCCGGGCTGGCGCTGGCGATCCGGCAGCGGGAGACGGTGATGTTTCCGATGGTGCCGTGGATGCTGCGCGGCGACAGGTGGCCCAAGGTGCAGTCGTCCATGGCGAGCCGTTTCCAGCCCCCACTGGCGTCCAGACAGCGCGATTCCACACTCGAAAGTGTCACGGAGCGGAGTAAAACGTCTGTGGACCCTCCGAACGCGTGCGGGGGACATGCGTCGGCCTCGACATTCCGGAGGCTCAGGGTTCCGAGTTTGCCGCTGATGGCTCCGGGGCTCAGCCGTAAAGAGCGGACGTTCTCGAGCTGCAGGGAGCTGATCATGCCGCCGATCGCGCCCGTCTCCAGTGTCAGGGTGCTGACGTTGGAGAACTCCACACGGTGGAACATCGAGTCGAACGGCAGGGCGTCAGTCTCGACGTACACGCTGTCTGCGTTTGTGACGGACAGGGTCGCCAGTTTGCTGTGCCAGCCGAGGAAGGCCGACTTTCTTATTTGCAGTTCACCAACGTCCTTCACTGTAAGCGAGACGTTTCTGTCGGCTTCTATTTGCACCTCGGTGCTCTCCTCCAAAACTAGCCTTTCGATGTCGGAGAAAAGCATTCTGCGTAGGTTGTGATTGGAGGACACTGCGTCGCGTTTTAACCAAACGCTTCGACCTCGTAGAATTCTAGCTTCTTCCAAGTTCGGTGCCCCTCTCAGTAGTATGTTAATCTATGGGAATAACACAACATTGCATGTCAAAACATTAGTATCTTGTATCGTTTTTTAAAAACGAGAACATTGTAAAAGGCATCAATTCTTTCACTTGGAGAAATAGCATAGCTTAGATATTGGATGACTCCCCGGCCCTAACGTGCTCACCTCAGGGACACTGAAGCTGCAGGTCAGATGGGTGCGATCGTCGTCATAACAGCATCCCACTTTGTTACACTCTCTCGCCAAGGCGTATCCGATGACGTCACAGAGTAGGAGCAGCACGGCCAGGGTGACCGATACTGCTCTCCGGCGGCGTTCCACCATGCTGAGCGGCGCAGTTCGGGTCGTCCACAGCCGGTTCGCCAGCTCCTCTGGTGCGGCGGGTCACTGGCACATCCCCTGACACCCACTGGTCAGCCCTGGCGCCTTATCGCCTGCAGTGACGTCACTTCCAGCCGTGACGTAAAACGTCCACTGAGAGGTTCACAGTCCCCTCACACACCATTCCATCCCAGCTAAAAGTTTTTGCTAAAAAGTTCGCTTATTTGAATAAACAATGATGTTTATTTATTGGTTCGCTAAGGATCGAAGCGCGAAATCATATCAGTTTTCAATTCATTTTAAGCGTGCTTTGGGATGAGCACATTCTGGTGTCAAAGCTTTGCTAACCCTAACATGATAGAAACATCAGTAGTTACGTTTCTGTCATGTAGATGGAACATACCACTAACGCTCAGCCGTTTAGGGTGCAGCCAGGACCCTGACCCTCTGCACGTTTTTGTGCACGGTGCACGATGACCGGACGCGTGAGGCGGATTGCTGATGTAGCGACGTTTCCCTCCACCGCGCCGTTCGCAGCTTCCTTTCCCTGTCCGGTGACTGGGTATGTCTGCAGGACCCAGGATTTCCCGAGGCCCGACAATCACATCCGGACACTGTCAACTCGTCAAGAGAGCAAATATGACTCATGCTTAGTCATTTATGTGTAGTTACAATGTGTACCTATATGTGGACAGTTGAACACATATTTCAAATATGCGGTAATTGTGCGTGCCTGCACATCAGGCATTGCATTATTAAAAAAGTTCACACGACGCGACGCTACAATTTCACTGCGACCGGACCTTTCGGTTCACCATTCCTGGTGTTAATTGCTTTAGCAGGGCTGCTTATGAAAGTCACGCAAGATATTCGACATATCAATATCATAGGTAATACCTACCGGTAAAACGTTTGAAACCACAATATAAATATTGCGAGCCAAATGATAAACCAACATCATCGGAGGAAGGTGGTTTGTAATGAGGGAGAACATACCCATAGGGTCTCGCATCCTTATGCAGCCTCGCAAGTTCAATGTGCCGTATTGCTCCGGCACCCTTTTCCCGTCCCACTTTCTATATAGGTGTAACCATTGGACATCATATTTAACATACCTATTTGACGTCCACTAAGTATCACGGTTCGTTTGACAGAAAACGACGATTCTAAGCTCAGTCACCCTCGGTGGGCTTCTTCTGCTGGCTGTGTCGTGCCTCGTACCACTTCCTGGCCGCCACCAGGAGCACGGAGATGACGACCAGCGCCATGCCGATGAAGGAGTACATGCCGGGCACCTGGTCGAACCACACCACCTGCCAGACCACGGCGTACAGGATGTCGGTGGTGCGCGCCACCGCCACCGGGCCGGCCAGCTCCAGCTGGCACGCCTTCGTGAAACACATCTGCACCAGGAAACTGAGCACGCCGACAGCGAGCACCAGCAGCCAGGGCAGCGCCGTGGTGGGCAGCGAGCGGTCGCCCACGGTCAGCCACACGATCACCGACAGCGGCACGGCCGTCAGACTGAACACCGACACCGTGGCCGAGTAGTGCACGTCACGGAGCTGGCGCAGCGACACGTACGTGATGGACGTCACCACCGTGGCCGTGCAGGCCAGCACGGGGCCGACCGCGCTGTAGCCCTCGCCGGTGCCGCCGCCGAACAGGAACGGCGGCCGCACGATCAGCACGATCCCCGCGAGCGTGCCGGCGATGGTGAGGGCGTTCACCCACGTGAACGGCTCCTTCAGCCACAGGCGCGCGAACACGGCCACAAAGACGGGCACGCTGAGCACGATCACACTAGCGTCGGCCAGAGGCATTAGACGCATCGCGTAAAACTTGAGCACGAGTCCGGCGGTGCCGAGTACCGAGCGGACCAGCATCGTGCGCCGGCGGCCGCGCGGGAAGATGGACGTGCCACGACGAATGGCCACGGCCATCGCCGGGACGAGAAGGATGGCGAAACGGAACGCCGACAGGGCCGCCGGGTCCACCGAGGACAGGCCTTTGACGAGTGCGTTCACCAATGACGAGCAGAAGGCGGCGAACAGTGCCAGCAGCAGGCCCAGGTGGGAGCTGCAGCGGCCGCCGCTGGGCGCGGCGCTCGCCGGGTCCGCGCTGCCGCCGCAGGGCTCCGGGCGGGGCGGTGCCAGCAGCGGCGTCTTCTCAGAGGTCACATCGGTACAGGAGGAGACCGAGTGACGACAGGAGCGGGTGCCGGTCACCGATGGCAGCGGAGCCGAGTCGGAGTCGTAGTCGCCGCTCAGGTCCAGAGACAGCACTGCTTTCTGTGGACAACAGCGGTACGATGGTGTCACGGAAGGCCAACACCTCCCATATGTCATGGTTTCGCCCATCCCCTTCCCCTTCCTTGCTGTTCTCGGGGCTAGAGTGGTCACTGAAAGTACGGACTGAAATGTAGCAACTCACATCAGAGTCCACTCTCACGATGATAGCGGTTAGCGCGGATCAGTGACCTGTCTATATCTTATCATCTCACGGCGCTCAAACTATGAGTGTTTGACGAAAAACTATCATATTCCGAATAACAACAACATGAGCAACGCTTCCAAATATTTGTTTGAGAATATGCTTGAAAGGTACGCATTTAGGTTGATCCGTAAGCGGTGTCCTTATAAGTAATGACTAATGCCTTTATGAACCCACATAGATACAGTTCTTCACAGCAGGTGAGGTATTCCATCAGTCGTTCGTTTTTTTTTTTAATTGATTATGCTTGCGAAGTTTATCAATCCATGTGCCTGGCACCGGAATAAAACTGTATCTGCTAGGTACCTACGGATATATATATATATATATATATATATATATATATATATATATATATATATATATATATATATATATATATATATATATATATATATATATATATATATATATATATATATATATATATTCTATATGAAACACGATAATTGCACGGAACCTATCAATCTATAGTTTTTATCCTCTCAGTACCTCCGTACATCATTATCTGACTCGCAACCAGGGGTGGATAATTAGGGGTTTGAGGTGCTCGAGCAGCCCTTGAAATTCAAAAGCTACCGTGCAATAGTCCTCCGGGGGTGCTTAACCCTCGCATGTGTAGGGGGGGGGGTCGGATGGACCCCCCCCCATGGTTTTTCGCAAATAACTCGCGTAAAAAGCGTTCGATCGCGACGAAATTTTCAGTACCCTCGCATTGATCAATTTTACACCTACCCTGAAAATTTCATGACCCTGACCCAAATGACCTTTGACCTGTGACCTCTTTTCCGAGACCATGTTTGGCCGGAATCGCGATTTCGCGTATGCCGGCTCGCACTAGCCGCGTGTTTGCAAGCTTTTCGTGGTTTCAAACGTTCAAACATGTTATTTGATGTTACTCCCGTGTGTGTCAAGGTCACCTGAAGGTCAGGTCAGGTCATTGACCTTTGGTGACCTCGGGTGACCTCGGGTCACTTTTTCGAGTTTTACATGTTTCTAGGCTAGTTTTTGGAGCTGAATTCGAATTTAGCAACCATTTGAACATTTACGAAGTAGTTTTGGTGACTTCGTAACATGTTACGAAGCTGTCAGAGGCGGTTGACACGTACTACGAATACCCGTCACGACGCCTACTGGTTGACCTGACCTGACCTGACCCGACCTGGTCTAAATGCTTCAAGACATCATCTGTGATCAAAACTAACACGATATTCGTGATCAGCATCCCGAAAAACCCCTTAACAGCCACACTTTACGACTTTCTAACAGGTCCCGATTTTCCCGACTTTGGGTCATTGACCTGACCTGGAAGGTCAACCAATGACCTAGGACCTTAAAATTGGGTATCATCGGCTTCCTCTCGTCACGGGCAACACGCTCGTTTTTTCCGCGAAGCTCTAGCTCGATCAGGGGCCAAACGGCAAGGGGGGGTCCAACCGACCCCCCCCCTACACATTAGAAGCTGGCAAACGCCGCACACATGCGAGGGTTAACTTACGTCTGAGGCACAAACTGCTTTGCGTAAGCCGCGAGGAGAGTGATGCTGCTTGGAAAACGTAGTAACGTACCTACCCACGCTTTTCTACGCAAGAATTCGAAGCTTCCATTCGCCAGCTGCTAGAAAAGCACCCCCTGGGATTATGACAATTCTCCGCCCCTGCTCGCAACTTTGAACTTCGAAGCTATTCCCCGATATCACAACATGAGAGAGCGCATGTAACTTTTTGCACCTTTTTGCCCGTCCTATTTATTTAGCCGTCCTAACATCAACATGACTGTCATAAAGATAATTTGCCCCTCGACAAAAAAAAAAAAAATCCATGACTAAGGCCTGCGTAGGCCACCGGGCCTTACTAAAATCTTCATTAAACAACATCAGAAAGAAAGACCACCGCAGATTATCATGGTCAAATATATCCTATATAGACGTCAGCACGTAATCTATAGACATCTGTGGCTAGCAAAGCCTCCACAGTCACTGCGATGCAATGGGTGCTCTGCACCCTAATCTCACCGGTTTGGCGGTAGGGGGACCGTCTCCGGACTGGGTCTTGGGGGTTGACATCGCTGACCGTGAGACCATAGGAGACAATACCGGAGCAAGCCGGAACACCTTCCGTCTGCCAACTGACTGTCCAAACTGTCAGCGGCGTCACTTCTGCGCCGCTGGCTCCTCAGGAATGACATCTGTCTCGCAGACTCAGTGCAGTGAGACCAAATCCAGACCGCAACTGTCGCAGATTTGTTTATCTTTGCGGAGGCTCGTCGGCAGGCGGCACGATGGACCTCTGTAGAGGTCAGCCGACGCTCAGTGGCGGCGGCACCAGCGCCTTTGCCCTGCACAGCCCGCTGATATCAAGGCCGCGCGGCACGTGGCCCCGGGGAGGTGCGCGTCTGTGGTGCGGGCAGGGGTGGGTCCGACACGGCTGCTGGACAGCATCAGTGACGTCAGTGACCCGACGGTCAGGCGCCGCGGTCTGCACATTTCCTCAGATATACCAGACACATGAATTCAGACAGGTATGGAGTGTGGAAGATCGGCAGACATGAAACACATCTGCTGCCAAAGTGGAAGTCTCTGTATCATCTTGTTTATACCTACGACAAAAGAAGAGGAAGAAATCGGAGGCGGAAAAACACTGAGCCAATAAACACTTAGTTCAAAGGTTTTTCAAAGGCTGCTGCAGACCGCGGTGAGCGAGAGCAGCGAGAGAAATGCACGATAATGTGAAATCCGAATAATTACATAGCAAGCTATACAGTACACCTACATGGTAACGGTTTGCTGAGCAAGGCACACGGCACATGCAGCTTGCATGACATTTGCCCGTAGCCTCTTTGAAAAACAACACCAGTTCATTTTGAAATCTTTTTGTGACTCACGATTAGCGTTTTTACCATCCACATACGATACTTGCTGATGCAACCGATAACGAACAAACCGGAAGAACCTATATAGAAGCAGCCCTATTCAGTAATATTCATGCAACATTGAGGGATCTATACATAGGATGCCTCCGAAAGACGTGATACAATCGGCTTTCGGGGCGAGGGCTAGGCGGGCAGCCACTTCAAAATATAAACATCACATATGTTTTCATGGCGCTGAGTTTCTGACAACGGTCGACCGACACGGTAACTTAGTCAACTACACAGTTACCAGAGGCTGACCATATACCCGGCGACCATCCGGAGCCGCTGACCGGGTCAGCACATCGCGCACGGGCTAGCTCCGGTCTGCAGCCCACCCTTATCAGAAAGATCGGGGCCTATAACTGTGCCTTTGGTCGACTGCCGCGGCTGATATCGTTCTGCATTTCATCGGTGAGGTGGGCAGAACACCTGGCCCTGCGCGGGCTATCCCAATTTTATCCTGACTTTGTATATTTTTTTTGTAAGCTGGTGACCTGACCTGAAAGGGCTTAGGCCTGAAATTTTAATTGAATGTGCCAGCACAATTGTCCCACATTACACGTTAAATTTGTCGGCGCTATGCGCCGCCGTTTTCACACTATAGCTACGAAAAATCTTACAGGGATGCATAAATGCATAGTCCCCCGGCAGATCGAGGGGTAGACTGTCATCTCGACACTCATTAGCTCTTATTTAGAGGTTCCATTTTTTCGTAATCTAAGAATATGCCTTAAATGCATAAATGAGGTTCATGTATAGAACATTAGGTACGCCATGCTCTTATCATTCAGTGCAACCTCAGGTAACACGATACACCTACGCATGTGTACACTGTACAGTGTACAGCGCCCCAATCCGCACTGTTCTCGGTAAGAAAGGAGTTTTCCATTTTACCACGCACAGCTTTGACAGCATTAACCCGCGCCCTGCTGGGGGGGGGGTGTTTGAACACCCCCCCTTGTGGTTTTTCGCGAATATCTCAAAAACGGCGGCGCGGAGCGCCGCCGTTTTTGGTACACCTTATCATACATCAATTCTACACATGTTGTGAAAATTTCAGACCAAGGTCACTCAAGGTCATGTCACCAGGTCACTTGAAGTGACCTCACCTCATAAAAAGTTTCAATGTCTGTCATAGCTACACCGAGTGACCGATCGCTTTGAAACTTTCAGCGATTGCTAAGAGCAATAGCATTTACAAAATGTATATCTCAGAATTTTGATATCGATGACCTAAGGTCAGGTCAATTTTGCGACCTCCCCATTATAAGTCAATGGGAGAAAATTGAAATGCGTCTCTTTTGGACGAAATACATTATAAACACTCCCAAACACTGAATTACAAGTGGTTTAGACACACTGAACATGAAAATGGTGTCCGTGACCCCTGTGTATGCCCTGAGGTCATCTTAGGTCACGAATGGTATCTAACAGTTTTTCGCAAATAACTTTTGATAGAGGCATGCTAGAGCGATGAAAACGCCTTAGATGTGTTCAGCTCGACGATACGGATCGGCTGATATGCAACATGACCCTTTCCGGTCAGGTCATGACCTTGACCTGAGGTCAAATTTTCAAGTTGACCTTTCAAGGTCAAGTTATAGTTCATTCGATGCGTCTTGACGAGAGGAACACGATGCTGGTAAAAGTAAGCTCGTACAAGGCTTGGGTCAAAAGTTATTGCAGAAAAACTGTTTCCGAAAAAATCGGCTATTTTTGCAGTTTTTGACCCCTGCAGGCAAAACCGTTGACGTTAGGTCAAATCTGAGAGGATTACTCAGAAAGGGCGTTAATAGGGCTATCGAATGCGCTTTTCCGCGGCGCTGTAGCTCTATTGGTTCCCGAGTTATGCGTTGGCTTCTTGGAAATTGTCGACATTCGACCTGGAAATCGGCGAAATTTTGCCTTCAATGACCTCTGGTGACCTGACCTTTGACCTGACCAAAAAATTGACCGAAGTGATTTTCCTCATTATTTTTGACGCTCTTTCGAACGCCGCCTTCCGCGTATCGCTACGTGGCCCAGGAGCCGAGTTAGAAGGGGGGGTGTTCAAACACCCCCCCCAGCAGGGCGTGGAAATCCAGGACCCCCAGCCGGGCGCGGGTTAAGTGGTTGGTCAGCCGCTGTGTTTTAGGGATGATAGCTTTGAGTGACACAGACGCTCCCGTAAAACACTCGAAACGTGTCTGCCTTTCCAGGTGGGCGAAAGGATAAACCAAACACTGACTTCACAAATACGACAGTGGTGCGATATACTCTCCTCGGCTGGCTCGGAAGGTTCTCCCTTATCCAGGCAGCCACAGCGCACGCGAGCCTACCCGACCCGTCTAGATGGCGGCCCTCGAGGCAGCTGAGTACCTGCAGGTGGCGCTGAAGCTGACTGAACGGCCCAGAATCCACCGCCGGTCACTCGCCAGCATCAAGCATGTCACGTTACATGCAATGAACAGACTATGAATTGCACTGGGTGTCTCTTGGTAAGTAGGTATGCACCACCTCATATGACAGTAAATTTCATGTAGGTATGTATGAGGCTCAGGTACTTTTTCTTTTATGTACAGTCATCCTAGGCCCTAGGGGAGTAGGCACTGGGAAACTAATAGACGTTATGCCCCTTATCGGCATTGACGCTTCGTTTGGCTAAAAGGTAATTATTTTGGTTGTCTGATGCATGGCTGCACAATTTACCTTACCATTCAAAAAATTCGCTTCGATCGTGCTGCAACACATTCGTGTAATTATCACCCCACTTTACACTTGACAAAACCCATTAATGCATTTAAAATCAGGCACTGGGTAAAAACAATCAACCTACCTCCTACAAGCCTATTGGTTAACCCTATTCCTGGCGGGCTCCGCCGGGACAAGAAACTGGCGGGGGGGGGGCCGATTCGGCCCCCCCCTGAGATCTCGAGAACGAAGCAAGATAGCGACAAGCGGTAAACGGCATCGGATACGCATGGACAAGGTCTACAATTTTTACAAAGGTCATTTTCAGGTCAGGTCAAAGATGACGTCACAGGGGTCGAAAAAGTCAAAATGGCGGCGCTAGATATGGAGAGTTTTTCTCGAATAACTTTCGAATTAGTCAAGATAGGAACAAACTAAGGGCATCATCGTGATCCTCTCGTCAATCCGCATCGAATGATATATATGTTGACCTCGAAAGGTCAAGGTCAAAGGTTGACCTCAGGTCACGTGACCTCGAGGTCATCATGTATATCATTCGATGCGTCTTGACGAGCTGAACACAATGAGACCATCCACGCGTCTGTATCTTGTTCCTGTACGGAGTTATTGGCCAAAAACCTTTGGTGACCTTTGATGACGTCACATGACCTCACAGCTGCCCAACAGCAAAACAGACCTCAAGGTAGTGAAGGTTGATCGTATATGAAGTCATGTATGGTATATGGGGCCATTCCGACCCGTTTTAGTGGTAAAAACAGGGAGTTGATTTTTCCCCCATTGACTTATAATGGGGAGGTCGCGAAACTGACCTGACCTTAGGTCACCGATATCAAAATTCCGAGATATACAAATTGCACATACTGGTACCCTAACTAAAGCCCGAAGAGAAGAAATTGATCGGTCAAAAACTCTAGCTCTGGCGTGATTGCAAACTTTTCTGAGGTAGGGTCACCAAATCGCCTCTGGTGACCTGACCTGAGGTCAGATCAACTCAAAATTTTCAGACATGTTGCGTAGAAGCCTTTTAGGAAAAGTCAGAAAATTTGAGCTTCCTAGCTCAACGCGTTTGGGAGAAATAACCAAAAAACCTCAGGGGGGGGGCTCCTGAGGCCCCCCCGCCAGGAATAGGGTTAAAACGGCTTCATTGACATCATCCTATCAAAGGACTACAATACTACATTTCGTACAAAATATACACTTCATTATAAATACCCATTGTCGATGGTACTTACATACTTACATACATTCTTGTCCATGAAGTAAATAGATGTGATTCTCTCTCTCTCTCTCTCTCTCTCTCTCTCTCTCTCTCTCTCTCTCTCTCTCTCTCTCTCTCTCTCTCTCTCTCTCTCTCTCTCTCTCTCTCTCTCCCTCTCTCTCTCTCTCTCTCTCTCTCTGCCTCCCTCCCTCTCTCTCTCTCTCTCTCTGCCTCCCTCCCTCTCTCTCTCTCTCTCTGCCTCTCTCTCCCTCTTTCTCTCTCTTTCTTTCTCTCTCTCTCTCTCTCTCTCTCTCTCTCTCTCTCTCTCTCTCTCTCTCTCTCTCTCTCTCTCTCTCTCTCTCTCTCTCTCTCTCTCTCTCTTGAAAGTATTGCATCTCAAAAGTACTGCTATCGTTCCGTTTGACAGCCCC